CGAATAGTAGCAAGTATCAGCAGCAATCTCCCACGGCAAGGCTGTCGGTGGATTCCATTTTCGAGAGTTGCTTACAGGCAAGCTGATTGTGGGTTTGACTCCCTAATTTATGCTGATAGCAGTATAGATGTGTAATTTAGGAGAAATATTTGCAACTAATGATGGCGCTCAGTTCACATGGTCGCACGCACCCGAGGAGCAGAACAAACTGTGGGCTGCCCGCCATTCTGTCTATTATGCAATTCTTTCACAGAGAAACAACAGTAGAGTAAGTTAACCTTCTTTCTTGCAGAACGTGTACGAAGGAATGTTATTGTCAAGCCGATGAAGAATCGAGCCGTGCTAGGTTCCCAGACTGAATTACACCACTTACTTTGTTCAGCTCTTTTGATCATGGTCACTTTCGCGATATCGACATAGCCAAAACTTCTTGTGTTTTCGAATACAAAATTTTTAAATTTCTGGAATCTCGAATAAGTTCCTGAATTCAGACTTAGATCCCTATTCACAAAACTTTTTCTGATTTAAGAACCCGAAGAAGGCAGTGCAGGATGAATTGCTTTGCAGTAATTTTTAACGGAATTTTGAGCAGAATAGTTTTGAGGTTACAGAAGGTGTGACAAAAAATGGTGCTGGCATATCTCTTATTTCAGGGTTTTACAACTGACGTGACCGTACCAATATCAGCTTTAGCAAAGGTTGTCACGGAAACCCGAGAAGATATCGATAAATCCGGTGTTTTTGGTTTGTTCCAATGTCTGCTCGTTAATAGCTCGGCTTCTCTACGTTTCTGGAGCATTTTTTGTGGGATGCTGGTATTTGTAACTGCAATTTGATGCGGGAACGTCGGAGAAAACGAAACATAAGTTTGTTTCAGGAGCAATAGCAGGACATGTTGGTGATGGTAATTTCCACTGTGTCTTCCCGGCTGATGAGTCAAATGAGGAGGAAATGAAAATCATCTGGGACTTGTCGGACCGCGTTGTTAGGTTTGTTCATTTCAGCCTTGTAGTACTTTGGAAAAAAACGATTATAAAGCTACCTCTTACTTAAAAACCATTTTCCCGAATTTGAGTACAGACAGTGCAGTTTAAGGGGATGAGCCGATAGGTAGTTGTTGGCTGGTTTCCAATGTCACAAAATTGTTTCTTGTGCTAATGCTCCTTTGTTTAAAAAATGTAGGGATTTTGAACATCCGTTTGTTCCTTCTGTTCTTTTGTTAGCCACTGTTGAAGTAGTTTTCTTTCAAATATTGAAGGAGGTTTTCGGATTCGTCTAACTCTTTGAAGTTGTTGTGGGGCAATTTTTGATCCTGCAGATTATCCGACAGTTACTGAATTCATTACCAGCAACCACTGGTATTTAATCATGGTTAATTTCATAAATTTTTTCAAATGTTTCTTAAAGATCCAATGGTCTTTGAGTTTCAACTCACGAACCAGAGAAGTTTCAACTCACGAACCTTTTATCTTTGAGTTTCAACTCACGAACCAGA